AGCCGATAAAGTTTGATGAGAGGCGTTGGAAGCAGAAGGTCAATAATGATAGCGCGGGTCACAGCATCGTTTTAGTGTTAATTCCAATATTTGATACAGTGTATGGAACAAGAACCTTACTGATGACTGACACTAACTGTTAGCGGCTGATAAGATTTAATAAAGGGCTCTAGAGGGCAAAGTTACCGTATTCACAGCGCAGGTCACAGCACCAACGAGACGTTAGTAACAGCAAGTGATATAGTGAGTGAGACGGAGAAATCGACGGTGATTGACATAAAGTGATAACAATTGATAGTGGTTGATGTGGGACCTGTTACCTTCATCAAAGTTGTTCAAGGTGGTAGACCTTTTACACTATTAAACTATAGAGATTCACTGCATTGATGCACTGATGACGTGACAGGTAGTCATATCAATTGATGAATTGATAATATGCCGTTCTCGCTATGACAGTTTTGGTTTATCTCACTTCCTTCTTAGCACTGATCACGAAGTTAATGCATCACATGTATGTAATGATGCCGAGCTTTAGGGGGGAGTCTATTGTGCACCTGAAAAACCGTGAGATTCTTCAATCAAAAAATACCTGCTCAAATATGCCGGATTCGTGGTAAACAGTGATGTGTCAGGAGATGTAGGTCGCCAAAGAACCAAAAGAAGTAGGAGGGAAACAAAAAGCTCATAGTGAGGACGTCCTGTCTGTGTTCGATCACCGCAGGTTCCCCGTGTGACAAACATGTTGAGGACAAAACAAACTAGACTTCTTTCACTGCCTCCCCTGCCTCACAGTTGTGGCTTTTTGAACGCACCAAGGCGCTGCATTTTACATTGCACATCCGGATTGCCACACCTTGAACTCCTCATACTGCGGTCATTTAACACGTGATGCAACCTTCTCCTGGTCAAGGGCCGAGAACAGATGCGCATAAGTAGTGACTGATTTGAACTATTTACAACTTAATTCGACTTATTTTTCTACATTTCGATTAAAAAAATGCCTTGTGACCATGTGACGCGTTCTACCCACTTTAGTTCGCCTGAGTTTCGAGCACCTAGTGAAGCCAGGACGGCTCGGCTTTGACGGGCCGTGGCAGAGAAGGTGTAGCGCCCGGCAACGGCTGGGCGATCCGACTGGTATGTGTATAATTTATTTAGTGCTATTAAGGCGCTAGCACCTTGACTAAGCAAGAACGACAACGTTTCCTATCAGCCACTATCACTTGTTATCACTTTCCGTCACCCATCGTCGACGTCCCCACCTCCCCTTATATCGTTTGCTGGACAACGCCTATCTGACGCTGGGTCCCGCATTATGAACATGATAGCTTTCCCATTCCAACTCCCCTATCAGATCTAACCAGCTGCTAACAGTTCTTGTCACCCACCAGTGATGTTCCTGTCCGACACCTCACACCATTCCTTGTAACCAACGTCCAACTATTGCTGCGACCCGCGCTATGGACTCGGTGACCCTCTCTGGCACCTCTTATCAGAACTTACCAGCTGTTATCACTCCCTGTCGCTCACCAATAATGTTCCTTCCCCATAATCGATGTCATACTCAGGAATCAACTCCTCATAGTTACTGGGACGATGGCTATGAATTTCGTGACAGACACACGCACAAACAGACAGACAGATAAACAGAAATACTTAGCGGATTATATATAGCAGGATGTTCCATGCAATCAATTTCCATTCTGTTTAGTGTTCGCTTTCTCCTACCAATTCCTTCACTGAGCCGCTATTTGGGGAATCTCTGGTCATTATTCGAGTACCTCGACTTGAAGAGTAGTCTAACAGACGGTGTCAGCGTGTCAGTGGGACATGGCCATGCCTTCGAAGATGCGGTTATCACGTTTTGTCCACTAAGATGGCTATGGCGAGCTTCGTGCGTACGTGATGCTCGTCGTCAAACGAACACTCTCACTGGCAAGGGAAGGATGGTATGTCGAAGTGGCCATTTGAAATGAGATGTATACCGACTGTCTTTGGACGGGCATTACAAAACCGTTATCATAGCTGCCGTGTACCTCCCAGAACCAAGTTGCGGGTCCTTTTAAGGGGCAGCTCTGTGGCATTCCCAACGAATTAGCGGCGTGAGGCTTCATCGCTCGAAGCAGCGTGGCCGAGTGGATACGTTGTAGGTCTCACGGGCACACTGTCTAGGGATTGGATCCTTCTCGAGAATGCCGCCCAAGAATATTTCTGAACAAATGGAGCCATTTTGGACAACTCCATGCAGAAAATTCTTGGCTGTCGAATTTGTTACACGATCTGAAGACTTCCAGCAGGTGCCAAAGCACCACTTCGGGACAGAATATATTTCAACATTATGTGGGTGATAATTGAAGGTGCCTCCAAGTACGATCTCTGCAAGATTGTCACATTAAAGCCACGTCGTAGGAAAGCTTTCCCAAGGATACTCATCTTTGGGCACAACTTCGTGTGGTTTCGGGTCCAGCCATGTGGAGAATAAAGCCATTCTTCAAGGCAAGCACATTCTTTGGAGTGCATTTCTTTTGTACAAAATAAGCTCCTTGAAACAACAAAGAAATCAACAGGCAAGAATAGGCACTGTTAGCCCTTCACTGCCCCAATCATCGAAAGTGTGACTTGTTTTGACCAACTTTTTCCCGTGGGCAGAATTGGCTAAACATTCGTTTCCTGAGGTCGTTTGAGTTCCTGAATACGAATATCACATCCGCTAGACCCGTAACCTACTGGCCCCACCACAGGCCCGGGGCCCAAGATACCTCTAATCGCCGGCACCTGTGAAGCGGACGCCAGGAGATTTTCAGCCAAACGGATCTGCCACTCGTATTCAGGAAATTAGACTACCCCAGGAGACCATATTTAGGCCAGGTTTGTTCAAGGAGAAAAGGCTCGTTGAAAAACTGGTTCAATTCTGGATCATTGGGACAGCATATTCTAGAGCTCCCTCACCATCGACGCTTCGTGGTCCATATTTGAATCCACCATATATCTCAACTGGTACCATAATTTGAGAACTTCGACTGACAAGGGAACCCCAAGAGGTCGACCCGGCCGTTTGCAATGAGATGTACACATGTGGACGTGTCTTGAGCCGCTGAATCCAAATCTACCCTCCGTTTTTGCGGAACGATTCTCTGAACGGAGTTATGGGGCTTTTTCCACCGCATTTAACACGCAACAGGTCGAGGGATCGAATCCCTGCTGGGCTTCACTTTTTTGCTTCCTGCGCAAACGTGGCAAAATGTAGTTTTGCTTTCACTACTACTTCAGTGCTCACCTAATCTTGCCTGAAGAAAACTTTGCGTCCATTTATGAATGCGCCTAGGCACCTTGTAGAAGCCTTGTAGTGCAGAAAAATATTGGGGTGTACAGGTGCCCGTCATGAGCGATAGAGGCGTTTTCACGCTCAGCAAGTGGCCATATTCGTGTTCAGCGGGTCAAAATACCGTTATACACAAGTTGCTCAGCCAAATCTGGCATTTTGACCTGATTTCCATAATTGAACCATCCATGGTTAGTTGAGCTGATGTTCACACCTATTCACTGCAGATACATTTGCCTGCACAACGCCTTGTCTTGCACCTTCTTACGCATTCATTTTGTTACTGCTCCAGTTTTCCTGGTATATAGAAGAAAATTCCGGCCAAAGACAGGCAATCGACAAGAGACTGGCCCTGGAACTAGTGGTGACCACCATCGGATCAACTGCTACCGGACTTTTGAAGATAGGTCAATATCTGGCTGGAAACCTGTCCCCAAGGGTAATTTTGCTCCCTGAACACGAATATGGCACCCATTTGACGTTTAAATGCATTCTAGACTTAAAAGAGACATTCCCCACAGAATTTAAATGCAACTCCGTTCAGAGAATAGTTCTGCAAATTTCGAAGGCAGATTCGAGATCAGCGTCCAAAACCACATCTAGTGAACTATAATTCATTACGAATGGCCACTTGGACCTGACGACCTTCCCTAGCAATAGTGGCGACCTTCTCCATTCCTCGATGCGAGCTCTAGAAACGGTCATTCTCATTGGAGTTCTCATTCAAGTTTTCAGAAGGTGTAACAGATGGAGCAATGATCGCTTCTATTGTCAAATAATCAGAGATTCAGGTCAACCGGCCAAACAGAAGTGTTCTGGGGACTCATATGGAATGTTCTGAACAAAAGCAAAAATGTTCGGAGTGTCAAGGATTCCAACATGCGACATCGTGTTTATGAATCAGTGCACTTATCCACTAGGCCATCGGCGACCTGCGTGAGCAACCATCCCTCTCAACTTATACAACGGAGCAAAGATTTGATGGTCCGTAACTCCGTTCAGAGAATCGTTCCGCAAAAACGGAGAGTAGATTTGGATTCAGCGGCTCGAGATACGTCCACATACCTACTTCTCATTGCAAATGGCCGGGTCGACCTGTTGGGGTTCCCTTGTGAGAGCAGATCGATGTAGTCAAATCTTCCATTCCGGACAGAACGATGGTCCTCTTCATAACCTAAATGAAGAACACAACAATCAGAACAGAAAGTTAGGCATACTTTGGTCAGATTATATCTATCTATCTAACAGCAATGAACATCCTTGGGTGACTTTACAACTCCTACAGTAAATTTATGTAAGCGAAAACGACATACTTATGGGCCAACTATATACATGCCCACAACATATATTCATACGCACGTGCACGCATACGTTTACAATATGCGTACATACAGATCGGCAACCAAAGGATATAATGTTGCATATCAGGTTTGGGTGTGACATAGGAATTTTGCGAGCTGGTCGGGCACCACGGGAACTCTATCCAGCTCAACAGTGTTTCTGTGCTACCCCCTATCATGTCAAGGCGGTTGTTGCTGCGACACTTCCGCTAATGCGCAACACACGTACAGAAACGCACACAGACCGACAAACTGATTTACACTTATAATTAATTGTTGTTTATAATAGGGGTGATTATTTGAGAAATGGGAATTAGTATTTTACAGTTTTGCAAGAAATGGCGCTCAGTATTTCATTCGTTGCGGTCGCAGTTGTGCTCATTTGCAGTCCCAAAGGCAGCCTAGTTTCTGCAGCGAGCACGGATGACTGGACCTTTGATCCGGAAACGGAACAAGGATATAAGGTAGGTGTATGTGAACGTCGTACATTGGAATTTGACTCCATAAGCCTGTTTTTTAACTAACAAAAATAAAAGAATTGGAATGAGAGAGTCGTGGAATCATGGGCAGCTTACAGTCTCGAAAAGAAATCACAGTAACCGAGATGGATGAGAAGCACATATTTAAGCGAAATGCAGTATCCATCACATGAATAGACAAACGAAAACAGGCGAATTTTCCAAAGGCCGACTGATTCTCTATCTGGATACGTGTACTTTTTCGATTGCGGCCCTACGACACGCTATTTATTCTAGACATGAGTGCGGTCAAATACTTCTTTTTTTTCTTACTGAGAGGAACTAGCACAATGGTCTCTCACAAACTGATCTGGCGTAGCATTCGATCGGATACCTGGAGTTTACCAAGGTTCAAATTCGAAATGCACATCTGTCATGTATAAAGCATCTTCGGATGATGGACTCAAATCTGCTATCCGATCTGCAGAGCTTTTTGTTGAGCGGAGTGTGGAGAGTGAGAATTTCTGATGGAAACAGGAAACTTACCAATTGCCTGCCTCGCGTTGCTGCGCGCCTCACGTGGTTACCAAACACGGAAAGACACGACGGCAGGTGGCAGGCCTCGGGACGACCCGACCTACGAACACCCCATGTCATATCACAATGTTTAACGATGCCTCATGATTCACAAAATAATGCTGCGGCGTCCGCGGAAGCACGCGCACTCGAATGGCCCGGCAAGTGTAGGAAGTATGCGAGGAACCCCGATGCAAGGACGGCATCGGGGGACAATCAGACTATTCCGAAAGTCTGGCAAAGTTCGGAAGGCTCGTCTTGCAACGTTAAATGTTGGGACTTTGACAGGGCGCTCATTCGAGCTGTTAGAAGCACTGGAACGCGTAAGAGTCGATCTCTGCTCAGTGCAGGAGACAAGATGGTCTGAGTGTCAGTCGAGAGACATTGGTCGTGGCCTCTTTGTGGTGGACGGAGAACGAAAAATGGTGTATACTGCAGTTTGCTGCCGACGGTTGGGTGTGTCAGTGCGGCTGCGTTTGGCGCGATGAAAAACTCGTTCTACACCAGTTGTTGAAGCGGGGAAGTGACAATTCTGTATCATATGCTTCGTATTACTCGTCTTCTACCACTTTTTGTCGCATGCGCTCTTCAACAAGAAGGTAGAGAACGGCTCTGATAGGGTGACACACTCGCAGGCCCTCAACATCCTCATTTCAGCTGAGTGAAGCTGCCTTTCATGGTTCTTGCAGATAGGCCAGCACTCACTGTCGTAGAGCATTCCAGACCTTACCACCGCACGGTACACCCTGCCTTGAGCGTTCTCGAGCACCGCCGGTCGCACAGGACCCCAGTGGACACCCTCCATTTCATCCACGCTGCGTTGATTCGGGTCTTTACCGCCTGGTCCACGCTGGCATCAGCTGATAGGTCGCTCCCCAGGTACTGGAACTCCTCGACCCTTTCAATGTTCCCGCCATGGCAGTCTACGATGGGTTCGTTGCACTCTTCGGAGCTCATGAACTTGGTCTTCTTCACGTTGAGACGGAGTCCATTCTCAGCGAGCACATCCTGCTACCGCTGCACCTTGTCCTGGAATTCTTCCCTGCTGTCTGTCAGGGCGATGTCGTCAGCGTAGAGGATGGTTTTCAGAGTCCCACCATGAGTTGTTTGGCCATGACATCTAGTGTCAGGAGGAAAAGGAAAGGGCTGAAGGCTGATCCTTGGTGTACTAATGTTCACCTCCTTTGTCAAGCCGTGCTGTGTGCGTACAGCTGCTCTAGCCCCATCGTACATGTCCTTCACTATGGAGATGAGGTGCTTCGGAATGTTACGTTCTCTAAGCGCTCTCTAGAGTACAGGCTGAGGCAGGCGGTCGAATGCCTTCTTAAGGTCCAGGAAGGCTAGGTAGCAGGGTCGTTGCTTCTCTCGGTACTTCTCCATCAGCTGTCTGGCGATGAAGATGGCATCTGTGCTGGACCTCTCAGCAATGAAGAAAAATTGTTTCTGCGAGATAGGGACAAGCTCCCACAGCCTAGTGTTGACCAGGCGCTCGTATAGCTTCATGGTATGGGGAGTCAGCTTGATGCTGCGGTAGATGGAACACTCCGTCGCGTCTCCTTTCTGTTTGAAGATGGGGACGATTGTGCTGCTCCTCCACGCATCTGGCATCCTCCCTTCAGCCGTTGCATTGTTCAGGCACTGTGTGAGCCAACTCACTCCATGCTCCCCCAGGGCTTTCCATGCCTCTATCGGTCCTCCCTAGCTCCCGGCGGACTTCATCTTTCGTCCAGGGCGTGATGGGACCTGCCGTCGCCTCTATCCTTGCTGTCCTTGCGAGGGAGTTCTTCGTTCAGTAGTCCCTCGAAGCATTCTTCCCACCTCTTTCTGACCCCGGCTGGTTTCCTGAGAATGGCCCCGTTGCTGCTCTTCACGGTCCTTACGAACCTGTCCTGAGCAGCGTGCCGAGCTTTAGCCAGGCGGAAGACGACCGATGAGCGACCCCACGTTCAGGGTCCCAATTCGAACTATCTTACTTGGCCGAGGTCGTTCACCCTCCCCCCTCGGTAGCCCTTGCATACTGGCCAAGAACTCGGGCGAGGATTCTGCGCGCCATTCCGGGTGACGTCCTAGCTTTAACACTGATACCTTTGCGACTTGTCACGATTGTTGTGACGGGTTACTCCATCAGCCGGCCTGTCAGCCTGGGCCTGACGCTGGTGGTATCGTTCCCATTTTTGCAATTTTTGCAAGGCAGGTTTGTGCCTCGGCAGGGATCGAACTTGTGGTCCAGGGTGTGAACATGAGTCTACACTCCTAACCACTCTGCTATCCCTGCCTAGTGGTGGTTTTCCCTACCCTTAGCAATTCATAGTACAACGTGTTCCTTGATTCTCAGGAGCAGCAGAGGGGTGCCTCCTCGGGTTCGATCTGGCTGTTGCATACGTGTGCTGGTCCTCTCCTTGAGCGAGTCACACGGTGTGAGTTTAGATCGTCAAGTACACAACCCCGTCCGACTTAGTCGGATACTAAAGAAGACCTAAATTATTGGATAGTCCGTAGATGGATACGCTACCTTGCGCACCGAGCGCTATCTATCTAGGCACAACCACGAGTCCCGAAATCAATAGGGCGTGTGACGGGGCGCGGATTCGAGCACACCCAGGAAGGCACTTCCTTTTCGTCCTTGCTGGGCTCGTGACTCTACCAGAGATCTATCGCAGAGCCTTAAATTATTATTTATTTTTTTGCCTAGAGATTTCCTGACAGCGATAGAAAATGAACTCGTCCTACTACCCTACTATATATAACCCGCTAAGTATATCTATGTGTGCCTGTGTGTGTGTTCGTGTGTGTCACGAAATTCATTGCACCCGTGTAGCAGTGAGACTTTTGTTCCAAGATATGATATGGAGTACGGGACAGGAATATATTGGTGGCTGACAGGAAGTGATATGAGCTGATAAAATTCGATGAGGGCGTCAGTAGTAGAAGGCCACCAAGTCTATAGTCCGGGTCACAGCAACGGTGGGACCTTAGTTCCAAGATATCATATAGCTTATGAGACAAGAACATTATTGGTGGGTGACAAAACTGCTAACAGTTGACAAGATTTGGAGCCGTTAGAAGGGGAAGGTCACCATATTGATAGCGCGCGTCACAGCATCGTTTGAGCGTTAATTTCATGATATGATACAGTGTGTGGGACAAGAACATTTTTGTTGTGTGACACGAAATGTTAGCCGCTGATAAGATTTGATAAAGGGCTCTAGAAGGGCAAAGTCACCGTATTCACAGCGCTTGTCACAGCATCAGCGAAACGTTAGTTACAGCAAGTGATATAGTGAGTGAGACGAAGAAATCAATCGGTGGTTGACATAAAGTGATAACAGCTGATAGGGGCTGATGCGGGACCAGGGTACAGCATCGTTGTGTGAAACCCATAGGGAGGACGTACTTGGCCGCAGGGGAGGGGGGGGGTCGCAATCTCGAGGGCCAGTCAGCACTGGACAATGCTATGACATTTCAGTTGATAGGGGGAATAAAGCTATGGAAGCCAAGATGTTGAAAAAAATGAAAATGACTATGAGTGTATTCCTAGCAGATTTAATTCCTTCGTATAACAGCCCTCTTTTCATGCGAAATCCCCAGAAAGGGGAACATACTTGGCCGCGAGGGGACATGGGGAGTATAAAGTAGGCTCGCTAAGCATCAAACAGTACAAAAGTGTCATTGCTAAGTTTGATATAACGGACGGAAAGCTGCAGAAGACCCGGATGTAAGGAGTACTACAAATAATAGAAAAATCGATAGCAATATAGCAAGAATAGCAAGAACAAATAAACAAATAAATACCAATTAATAGCATGAACTCGTAAGTACGTATGTGACTAAATAATACGTCTCAATCGATTCGTGCGTATTATCCTTTCCAAACCCTAAACAAACATCTGCTTGCATGGACAAAAACACCTGAAACCAGAATTTACACCTTTCCAACATCTCCACTAGGAGAAATACGCGCCACGGCGCCACTCGGACCAAATCGATCAGTGATAGCCGAGCTCCTCTTTCACTCCATTTGAAGGGAAATATGTGTTTCGAAGGCACACTAAAGTTTCCAGGTGTATCCTGACAATGGCACACAAGGAGTCGAAGTGTTGAGTAGCTCAGAGGGTATCTTTCTGGTAACCCATCTAAAATATCTGCTGATCTAGCGGGTCTTCTGAATAACTGCAAGGCTTGTTGGAAAAAGATAGGGCGCTCTGAAGACGGTTTTGGTTCTGGTGAATTTGCATTTGAAATAATTAATCCTCGTGTGAATCATAAGAACCCGCTTGCCATTTACCTCTATCCTATCCGAAACCCATCCGAAATATTTCACGAACGGGGAAACATTCAGATTGCAAATAGCTAGAAAACGCAACAGTAGGAACATTGCCCTTGCATGCCGCTAACCATTCCTCAAAAGCCGCACACCTAAGGCAGCGTTCATAGCTTGTGTTCGTGAACAAATGCCGAAACTGCAGACGTAATCAGCTGTTGTCAGCCTTCCTCCTTCATCCACTTCCCTCACTTCTACTCCTTCTATCTTTCCTCTACCTTATTTTCCTTCCTCAAGCACTCATCCAGAAATACGATGAGGAAATAGTATCTTATCAACGAGGGAAACGTGAAGGAACGACGCAAAATGAGAAGCATGTCCGCAAGCACGCCAAATTGCACCAAAACTTTAGGATATGCCGTTTTTCAAAATTGGTAGTTCCTCCAGCGGCAGGACGTGCCCAGATTGTTTTTTTTCTTTGATTTGTTTTGTTTCATGATATGGTGCCTGGAGTCTCATTTTTATCTGAACATGAAATACATAGAGAGGCGCCAAAAATTTGTAACAAATTCAAATGCAAAAAATCTAAAAGATTCAAAAGAATCCAAGATCCAAGAGTTTCTGTTGTTGTATCTTGACGGTTGTAACTGTTTGGATTTTTTTCTGTCGTTCAATATGATGATGATTGAATAAACAAAAATTCTTGAAAACTGTTCCACGTAGATGGAGTTGTCGGAGACGAGGTCATAACACCGCCGCTTGAAAGAACTTTACAGTGAGCGAAGTTACTATTTTGAGGATTTTGTATGTTTGACTTTATTTACTTCACTCGCTGACATACTTTGAGCGTTAATCTAGTACCAAAATCAGAATAAAACAAACAAGATTCACCACAAACTTGCTGAGAAACCTCACAGAAGCCGAAAACAACAAATGACAGGCAAATGAATGAGTACGTCTGCAGTTTCGGCATTTCATCACCTTCAATTCAATACGTATCCATTGCTTTTCTTCACTTTCCGCACTTCTTCACTTTCGGCATTTCTTCACTTTCTTCGAATTGATGCGTATCTATTGCTTTTCTGCAGATTCGGCACTTCTGCACTTTCCGCACTTTCCGCACGCCTGTATTCGGCATTTCTTCACGAACGCAAGCTATGAACGCGGCCTAAAAGAGATATAACCCTTCGAAAGACCCCAGTACGTTGGGAGGTCCAATAACCGCGCCCCATTGACGTTTTTCTAATGAAAGCGGTCGCAACGTTGCGATCGATAATAGCCGAGTATAGAACTATATACTACCGCCTAGTCCATTTTCATTTGGTTCCGCATTTTTTTTGTGATGTTCATGTTTCGCTTTGTTGTGTCGTGCATGTTTTCATGATTTCTCCGTCAGCATTCATTGAATGCATATCTGGGGCCCGAGACACTGACCTTAGGACTAATTCTTCACCAGTTTAGCTAATTTTTTTCCACCGAAGGTCACCATTATTCGCTTTTTGGATTGTGTTCCTTGTTACAAGTTGCATGTCATACATGGTTGTCGAACGACGAGTTTTATTAGGTTGGCGGGAAAGTTCTGTCACATTTTTTCAAATTAGACTTTCTTTTTACAGAGAGGCGTTCAAGATCGAAACTACAGCCATGTTATTGAGAGATCCTTGCCAGGTTTTGGACAGTTCGTGAATGCCATCGCTTAACCCATTCGTGACAATGTCCGCCACTGGTGGTGGACACCGAAATGTCCACTTCGGACCATGTCCACCATATGTGGTGGACGGGCTTTTGATGAAATTTTTAGAAATAGTTCGAGTTTTTCGAGGAACTTTTCCCGGTGGTGCAAGTCTTCATACCTTTCTTAATTTATGCAAATAGTAGACCAGTGAGATCTCCAGATATAAGGGTCCCAGGCACGACTCAACTAGCAGCACCTGAGCCCAGAACGTCTGGAAAAATTTCTGCTGAAAAATTGCCGGTAGGGGTTACTCAGTGCCCCGCTCACGAATGTGACGTCCGTTTCTGGCGCCCGAGGTGTTTGACGCCATCTGGCACCGTTACACCCCTTCTTTCATCGAAGCCGGCGCGCTAGAACGGTGCCGCGCCAGCTTACCACTACCTTTTTCACCGAACTTCAAGGAAATTTACAGGGCTTTTTGCTGGTCTGGTCACGAATACGTTGACGTTCACCGGAGGTCCCAGCGCCAAATGGCGCCAATAAGCGCCAGTTTGGTGATATCACCTCTTTCACGCAAATTGATGGGAACTGGTTATTCGCTGTTCTTATTATTGATATGACATTCATTTTTAGCAGGAACGTTAGCGTAGGGCACAAGGGTTATCAATGCGACGCTGAGGCTGAGCTTGCTCAGGAGAATGGAATCACTCCTTCTTTGAGCTCCAGACTTTTTCAGAGCATTACATTGCGCTCATGTCATGTAGCGCTCTGCAAAGATAAAAACCGACTATCAATTGTGTTCGGGCCTCCCCCCCCCCCCGACTTCGAGCTCGAATGCAGAACAGCTGCGACTTTAGCGAAAAAAAGCGACAGCAGTGCAGGTGGATCCTAGCGCCGAATAGCGCCGGTGAGAAAACTATAGGGCCTGTCAACCCCTTACTGCCTCAGACATCCGGAACCAAGCCAACTTTCGACCTAACAAGTTTCTTTCTATGTGGACAGACTTGGCTTAGCAGTCGTTTCTGGAGTTGGTTTGAGCTTTTGAACAAAAGTACCACGTCCGCTCGGCTCAAAATCTTCTGGTGGCAAGGCTCAAAACCTCCTTGCCATCAGGTTTTGAGCCACCTCAATATGTTAAATTACCTCAATATGCAAGCTTATACGGATTTTCGAGGGAAGAACTCTAACACTAAATTAGCGCACACTGGCGCAAGTGGCACCGAAGGACAGAGGAATGTCATTTTTGTGACCTGAGGAATAACCCCTGCACTCGATGGTGCAGTAAAAAAGGAAATTTCTGGAGCAAAATGTTGAATAGTGCTAGGATTTTTAGTGAGGGGTCGCGAGGGACCGTGTCTACCATTGGTGGCGGACACTTGCTGAGAGCTCGCAAATGCTCTGGTCCGAACGGGCCGCTTTCGAAAAACGCGCCTGGTCGCGAATGGGTTAATAATGTACGCCGGCGCGACGCGAATTGGCCATCATCTCAACTTTGACTTGGGCTCAAGTCGTGGAGGTTTTCTCGGCTGTATAACGCTAGAATAAGGGGCGACTAGCACTCAGAAAGAGCAATGTCTGGACTACACCGGTGCAAGGGGAGAGCCATTCAGCTCTCTTGCATGAAGTGCAACTTTTTTTGACGGGGCGTGCTACACTAGCACGTTGAAGACGGACTGTGCCGATGGATTTAGCCCTCTGCTTAACGATTCGCTTCAGATCTCGTAGCTGCCTTGCGTACGGATTGACCGAGGAGGCAGCTTCTTCATTCAATAGTTTTCTGACCCACCGCTATCTGGAGCTGAAATTACAGGTACTCCCGTACTCACTTCGTCATTCGACCGTAGGCTCCCGCTCTGAAGAGCTAGCGTCGTGGGAGATTGCCTGATGACTGTAGACATTGTCCTTGTGCAGCTCCATTATTTCGGCGTCGACAGTTGCCATGCTGGCGCCAGGGTGGTAGAAGAAATAGTGTAAGGAAGCGCTTGAAGGGGTCGGTGCTGAAGGTGCGGATAACATTCTTGTCCATAATGCAGAATAAGGATGAGCAGGAGCCGAGTCAGTGACACTAATAGAAAGATCAATCCTTAATGTATAAATGCTCACATTACCGGTCAGCCCTCTTCGGGTAATAGGCGAATACTTGGGGTAAAAAAAGTATGGCAGAACTTTCCCATCAACCTAATATTTTGAATTCTAAGACAAAATTGTGGGCAATGCGAGGCTGTCGTTCAGCTTATTGCATGATTCTGAGACCTCTTATTGTGTGTATTTTAAAGCAGAGTCCGCCTTTCAAATTTCAGATTCATTTCGTGTAAACATGCACCTGGTTGTCAGTTTGAGCAGGAAGGAGGGGGGCCGTAACTGGACCCTCTTAGAAGGGGGGAGGTCGTACTCACACCGCCATTTTGCACGTCCCCATGCTGTACCCTGTGCGGGACCTGTTGCCTTTGTCGACGTTGTTCAAGGTGGTAGACTTTTACATTGATGTGCTGATGAGTTGGACAAGTAATCATATCAGTTGATAAAATTGACAAGATATCGTTTTCGCTATGACAGTAGCACTGATCACGACGTTAATAGATCACGTGCATGTAACGATGCCGAGCGGGGGGGGTATTGTGCACCTGAAACGGAAAAATTGTGAAACTCGTGTCATAGAAGGAATAGATCCCGGCGACAGCTGGGCGATCCGACGGTCATCATTTACCAATCAGTCATGATCAATGAGTTATTCATCATCAACATTCCCCGCTTACTAGCACGAGGAGCGCCTGTGCACGTGGTACTGCAAGAAGAAGCATTAATTGCGGGTATACTCCCACATTAGCAACAATGTTCAGGTGTTCAAAGAGGCAGTGACATGGGAGGAGGCCCGTAGCAAATGCAAACAATTCAATGCGGATCTAGCATCCATAGGGTCACCACAAGAAAACGAGTTCATACATGGTAAGTAAAAGATTAGTTTGTTACACTTTGATAGACATGTTTCACGCCAACGAAGACGGATATGGTGATCTGGATAAAAGCCGTGCACGCGCTCAAACAACTTGCAGGAGTCCTTCATAGTCTGCTCCTCAGCCTCTGAGATTATCGCAATTATGCAGCTTCGCTCTGACAAATGAGGTCGTTCAGGGCGTTGTGCGCTTTTCGAAAACGGTTCCTCGCATATTGTAGGGACGCATATGAGGACCAAAAAAACTGAGGTTCCTTCCCGCTGGGGTTCAAAAAAACCGCCAAAAATAGATTCATGGTTCGGACTGCCACGGAGACAAAATTTTGCTCTTTACAAGTTTTTGTTTTTCAGATGCATGTTTGCCTAGGTACTTTCTTTTGATAAAAACATTTACGAAAACTCAATGATCCTGTGTCGATGAAGATCCTCTTTTTCCTTTCTAGTTCGTGAGTATTCACAGACCCAGCTGTTCGGAGATATGCTGGCGCCAGGTGACATTGACGCCAAAAATGGGTGTCAGAATCGTGACCAGAACTACTGGTTACCTCTAGAAACAAGTTTTTAGCCACAAAATTTGTTTTTTCGGGCCGTAGATGACCGCACAGTGAGTCTCACATCTTGGTACCAGCTTTGGCGTACCGATGACGCAACGGACCTCCGGCAAATTCTAACGTCGAATAGAAAAGAAACGCTTTTTATGCATAACATACGTCTACCTCACTCTGAAAGTAAAATGCTTTCCTGGCCTGGGCGGCCTCTGATTCTGGATTTGGCCAAAGAAAGCGAGCTGGCCGCTTGTCACTGTCATTTACTTCCTCTTCTGTCTGTAATTATTTCCCCTATCTCCTTCCATCCTCTTGGGTGACCTTACAACCTATCTTCTTTATTTTGGAGAGAATTACCATGACATCGATTCCACGTGGCGTACGTGGAATCGATGTGGTTTCCAGCAGATATAGGTTGGAAGGAAAGTCCTGTCAGTGTCTTTTGAAAATCTTACAGTTTTTGATTCTATTTCATTCTAATTTCCATACTTTTTTCATGGTATTTCTTTCCAAAATGAAGAGGATAGGTTGTTAGGTCACTCAAGAGGATGGAAGGAGATAGGGAAAATGTTTACAAACAGAAAAGGAAACATCGGTGAATTAGCTCCAGGACTGATGGGAATTCGAATGTGTTCTACTCTATTTAAAAAGGGACACTTGCTCTCTCTTCGCCCATGACTTGAGTGTGTACATTAAACTAGGCCACCTAGGCAGACTGATTGTTTCTTTTTGTTTGATTTGTTTTGTTTCTTAATATGGTGCCCGGAGTCTCATTTTTATCTAAACATGAAACACATACCCTCGTCATCCGGGCAGTTGATTAGGGCGGTCGTCAACGGGCCGCAGCTCGTGCCAGGAACTATTTGCTTTTTCCAGGCTAATTTAGTCATTTTTTCCAACTTTTCAGTGTGTTGGCTACTTTTTCCCAGATTAGCAGCTCCTTATATTCACAGGTGGAAAAAAATGACTAAATTAGCCTGGAAAAAGCAAATAGTTCCTGGCACGCGCTGCGGCCCGTTGACGACCGCCCTAATCAACTGCCCGGATGACGAGAATAGAGAGGCGCCAAAAATTTGCTGCAAAAAATCCAAAAGATTCAAAAGAATCCAAGAGTTTCTGTTGTTGCCTCTTAATGATTGTAACTGTTGTTTGGATTTTTTTTTCTGTTGTTCTATATGATGGTGAATGAATAAACAAAAATTCTTGAAAACTGTTCCACGTAGATGGAACAGTTTTCAAGAATTCGGTCGGGAATTCGGTCGGTCGGGGACGAGATCATAACACCGGCGCTTGAAAGAACTTGAGAGTGAGTGAAGTTACTATTTTGAGGATTTTGAGGATTTGACTTTATTTGCTTCACTCGCTGACATACCTTGAGCGTTAATCTAGTAGCTGAATCAGAATAAAAGAAACAAGATTCACAGGAAACTTGCTGAGAAACCTCACGAAAGCCGAAAACAACAAATGACAGGCAAATGAATGAGTACGTCTGCAGCTTCGGCATTTCTTCACTTTCTTCAAATCGATACGTATCCATTGCTTTTCGGCAGATTCCGCACTTTCGGCATTTCTGCAGATTCCGCACTTCTTCACTTTCGGCATTTCTGCAGATTCGGCACGTCTGCAGTTTCGGCATTTCTTCACTTTCTTCAAATCGATACGTATCAATTGCTCTTCTGCAGATTCCGCACTTCTGCAGTTTCGGCTTTTCTTCACGATTGCAAGCTGTGAACGCGGCCTAACACAGAAAACATGTAAATTTGTTATGGCTTCCCCTCTCATTTGCTGATCCAGCTCAGAATGGCAGGTAGAGCAAAAGAACACTCACAGTATGACGGCAGCCACCCGATTAACCAACGTGCAGAACAGCTTCGTTGTATAACAGGCGCTTTTGCGCGATATCCCTCCTTCCGAAACAGGAAATGCTAGACACCACGTCATAGCGATGACTACCCGAGACCACTTGGAGTCATATGACACGATAATTTGATACTCGTTGTGAAATGCTGGCAGGTTGCTATATCGTTGGGAAATCGGCTAAAAAAAGAAGTGAAACGGTTAAAAGCCTGTGAGCAAAGCCTTCGTTCTTAATGACTCGCCAAGCAATGTCGGACGAGTTTCCCGTAAGCATGTTGCCGTGACTTCTAAGATTGACACTTCTGCACTTATGTACTCATATGTCCTTGCAGCAGCCGGCCGCTTCATATCAGTCCATTCCTTTTGTTTCACTTCGCAAAGGAAGCAATTCGAACATCAAGTGCGTTTGGGCATTCAAGGGCGGGCAGACGCGGTGGGCGTCCGGATCGGTATGTTGCAGCTAATAGGGCCTTACGATGGTAACTTCCTTAGCGAAAGCGGTACACAGTGAATTCCGTTTTTCCAGGTCCTTATTCTGGTAGAACGGAATTCCTAATCCTAATCCTACTCGTGTCAGGGATTTATTGGGCCAACTGCCTTTCAGTTCCCCAGATCTACGTCGATCATTTAGTTGCACCATGGTTATATAACTATAGACTCTTGATCAATTGTAATCCCTATAGCGAAGCCATGGTCTGGTCCGCTTTTCTAGACTCACGGTCTCTGTTTCCTCTACTCACATAGTGTTCAGAGCCGGAAAGCTCCTCACTGAAGATGCTTTCTATGGTTCTTATCCACTAGTTTCCCACATAACTAATACACAACATCTCGTTAATCCCCACAGGGAGGTCGCTCGGAACGTGAATTCCTTTTGGGAATGGTTTCCATGATGCAGAGGAATATGCATGAATTACAAAGTTCGTTTTTTCGTTCAATAAAAGAGTGAACAATGGGTTGACGACATGGATCCTTGCAGATACAAAAATTTGTTTTCCCATGGTTTCCCCTTTTTATTTCCTTTTTTCTTCCGAAACTTTCATTCTAACGGAAACGAGCTGGAAAAACAAAGAATCCTGTGCTTTCGAAACAGAAGCGCTCTCTCCTTGAAAATTGTTTTTCGATGGGCTACTCAGAAGCGTACCTGTACCAGACTGAGTTGATGCCAAAAATAAATTGGCATGTGACCAGAAACAGGGATTACTCGCAGTAAGGAACATTTAGTCAATTTTTTTTGATTTTTTTCGAGTCATAGTAGACCCATCGGTCGAAAATGCTAACCAAGATCTCATATGTTCCTGAGACCCATGGCGCAACGATGGCGCAACGTGCCTCCGGCCCAACAGTTTCGCCATTTCGTTGTGCCCGTTTCGAAGGTGACAGACACCTGGGTGAATCCCGCTGGATACATGTACAGGTATCATAGACTTTGTTCTTCCTGCCGACGTCCTGCTCAACGAATATGGCATTGTGCTCAACCGGGAAAACTGAAACTGCTCTCTCCCACCTCTCCCGACTTTTCTTAGGCGAGTGTGTACTTGCTTTCCTTGACTGGTTTTATCTTTGACCGGAAGTCTTCACCTTTACCTCCGTTAATTCAGCAAGAGTTATCATATTCACTCACCTTCTAGTGTTAGCCGTAGAGCATTAGGCTGCGTTTATATCTTACGACGACGTCGGCGATGTTGACGTAACCGCCATTTTGGCAAGTGTTTTGATATATATTGATAGCATGTGAATACTGTATTGATCCGACGTAATCGACGCAACCAACATACCCGGCGGGCGTTACCGATGTAACCGGCGACAGCCTTCCGAAGTGTTGATACGTATCGATCCGACGTAGAAGACGTTACCGACGTTCACAGCGACTACGAAGCTAAGATAAGTGAAGGACAACTCAAACCACTTCCCCCTTTCCGAGATTTTACTTTCAAACGAATCCCCCTTTCCAGAGAGTTTTACGTTTCAACGAAGTTATAGGTGTTCAAAAAAGGTACTTTCGAGTGTTCGGCTTGAAATTGATCCCAGGTCGCAAAATAATGCGCTCCAATTCGGCTTGTATACGCGGTTGTGTGCGGATAAACGTGGTAATGCCGCGAGCAATCGCTATTCAAACGCAATTTGGATCGATACGTTCTGTTCAAGCTTATCCAAGCCATGCATCTAAAAGCTCAATTCATATTCTTCGTACCATAGCTTTCCCCATAGCTTTCCCATCTTATTGGTTTTTGAGAGTTTACCAAATTCCTATTGAATGCGAAACTCACAAAAGCTATCTCGTTAACTTCGTAACGGGTAGTTTTGGTAAATAAGCGCTTCTCAGTACAGGCATGTTTTTGTTCATTGCTTCGCTTCCATCACCTTTTCCACAGTGTGAAATTATATTGCAGCAGATACCCAGCGAGAAACTTTGTGTGTTGTTGTTGAAAAAATAAGAGCACAATAAATTTTTTTATTTCGTAACGAGGTAACTGAGGTGAAGGATAAGCGAGTTGATTATGCTTCTTTCATTTGTACCCTCGGGGGTGGTATTAAGGCCCTAAGTCTGGGGGGTCGTAATAACCGGGAATGATCACAACGCAATGGCGTGCCCTTATTCCCACACAACCATTACAATAACAATGGCCTAAGGCAGCGGTCATACTTGTAGCGCTACAGGCGTCGCGCTACAGCGTCGCCGACAGCGTCGCGCTAACCAGCGTCGCGCTACAGCGTCGCGCTACCAGCGTCGCGCTACAGCGTCGCGCTACAGCGTCGCGCTACTGAGTAGAACTAGGTTGGCTCTTGTTACTTGGATTGAATGATTTCTGAAACATTCCCTTTCTAGGAAGTTTCACCGTTGTGATCCTCTTGTGATCCTCTTGTGATCATGGGGGGCCGACCACAAGTCGCCACGCTCTGGACATCCATGGCAAGCTTCATAGACGGCCTTTCGAAAAAAAAGAACTGTGCCGGACGCAAACTTTCTACTTTCCAGCACAACTTTCATTTTAACGCTAGGTCTGTATTCGAAAAAGTTCCTTCTTGTGACCATAAAAAAACCACTCCCCCACGGCCCGAAAAATCAATCCCTCCGACGCCAGAAAATCTCCAGTTGGCTTTAAGACATTGGTATGCTTCTAAAACGCATGTTTTTGCCAAGTATACCAGGGAATAGTTTATTGGACGCCCACTGGCATCACCTATGCATTGCGCCATGCATAGCGCTTTCACGCAGAGCTATTGGCGAGGTGTAACTTCTCGAAAGGGCTTCCTTCGTGAAGGTAGATGTGTTTGCACGGTCAGAAAGGCTCGGAAGTGTATTTTTATCTGTTCAACAGTTCATGGCAGATATTTGTTGGCGCGGGGGTGGTGTAGTGACAAGTGGCGCGCTTACCACTCGCGCGATGCCGGGTTCAAATCCCGGGTCGACTTTCGCCTAAGCCAACCAAGCCTTTTACCCTCCGGGGACGGTAAGATGGTACCAAATTCGCCTGGGAGGATAAAACACTGATTTGTACATCGGCTGGCCACCGCAAGTCATAGTATAAGCCACATCGCATTCAGTGAGCCACTGCGATTCTGAACGGAAGTAGAATGCGTGCATCCCACAAAGGGGTTGATCAACGGCGGAGACTTTATCCTTTATCTTTTATCATTAATTCACGACGTCGTTGTGGGAGCCGTGCTCTGGTGGGAATGCGCGGCTTTTGAATAATGTTGCAGAAGCAGTACAGTTGCTCTTGAGTTCTATCCCTCGTCATAATCTTCGGTTCTTATTTTGCAGCACTTAAAGGAAATTGCGTTCTAATTTTATTGCAAAGCGCAATTACAGGACTTGGCAAAGTGCCAAGAGGGCCGCTCGCAACACGCGCCGCGCGAAGCGGCTGTTAGCATAAACGGTAGGCGGGGCATGGACAAATTAGACTTTTCCACGGCCCTGTACCCTGACCAGTTACGGGCAGGAAAACCACGACACATCGACACATGGTGTATGAGCTGATGATGACTGGCCAAGCCGCTGAAAACGTCGGTCACGTCTGTTACGCCGGATCGATACGTATCCAGTCTTTGAAGGGTTTTCACCGGTTACGTCGACGTTGACAACGTCGGCAACGTCGTCGCAAGCCATGAACGCAGCCTTAGCACTCATATGTGATGTAGTGAGAAGGCACAACAGATGGTGGGCCACGTAAGGCGATGACAGTAGATTAGTGGTGACGAGGATGATGAGAGTTAAACTTTGCGCTGGATGCACTGCAATGTTCAGTAAGAACTTGAGCTTACGAGACACCTCCACCCAAAGGGCAGGTACGACTTCCCTGCAGCTATTATTCAACAATGATTTGCCAAACCCTTACTTTCGGAGTCGCATACGTCACTGCATCCGGAATGCGATACCTTTGAAACGATGCTTGTTGGTGGTCGTGTTTATTGGAACTCTCAGTTACAACTGGAACTCTTGCCTTTGGAGCTTAGGGTATTTGGTGATTATCTTCCGACCTCGAAATTGTTAATATTATTCATTTATTATTATTATTATTAGTTATTATTATTATATTATTATTATTATTACTATTATTATTATAAGGCGGTCCAACAAAAGTTCGTTGCCACTTGTAAACAGCGTTCGCGTTACGACCAAACGCGTTGGATTGTGCATACATGGTCGGCAATAACTCGCAAAGTACGCTCGCGATGGCTATCTTCTGTAAGCCTGAGCTAGCTCAAAAATTTCCTTTTTTTGTGTGTAGTCTGTTGGTGGTGTTCCAACATAAAGCAGTTGAAGTATGAGTGATAGTTCTGCAACATACTTACATATCTGGACAATCTCCAGACGTCAGCCACAGACCAGTGATCGCGTCCAGCATTTGTGATAACACACCTTCTAAGAACTGATGTCAAAATGAACGGACTTTGCTTCACCAAATGGCACTATGGATATCCAAGATTCTGGCTTCTCTTCGTCAACGGCGTCGTCCACTATAGCAACCCCTACCCCTAACAATGCCAACTAATGACGCAAGAGACCCCTCTCTAAAGAATACAGGAGGTCAAGGTGAAGCTGCCGCCTTGGTCCCTATGAAACCTTGCAATCAGTGGATTGCTCTGGACTACGCGGCGTCCCGCCACAAAAGCGAGAGATTACTCCAACGCCGTCTGGACAGGCTGGGCATCAACAGACGTTACGCGCAATCCACCATATAGCCCGGACATCAGTCTATCTATCGATTACCACATCTTCCGTCCATGCGAAACTTTCTCTGCGACGAAAAGCACTGAGAACGACCGCGACCCGTCGAGGACGTGATCGAGGGCTGGCGAGTCGCGCTGGCGCTTCTGAGAGATTGAGTTCCTCTCTACCGATCGTTGGCGAAAGGTGGTGTGTATCCATGGAGATTATATCATGGACCGGTAGTTCAACTTGGTGAGTTATCTTCAATAAGCCTCTGCAAAAAAAGCGCAATGCCAACGAACCTTTTGTGTGACACCCTAACATTATTATTATATTACTATTATTATTATTAATTATTATTATTAATTATCATCATTATTATTATTTTATTACGCCCATCGGATCGCCCGCGGCTATATAGCCGCAGCTCTCCTCCTTATTGGAAGCCCGGCTTCGGCCGGCTCTGCAACTGCTTAAGTCGGACTAACCGCTTGTCTTCTAACCAAATGAATTAGAAACGCAACCACATGATCAGCAGCGCTCCGGCACTTTTCATAAATGAAAGTTCGAAATCTGGGCCATGGATAAATCGATACATCTCCTCCGACAGCGAAGGAATGCCTTCGGTTTCCGCACGTCGCTGCGTCGCTCCTGTTCAGGTAGCGTCGTCGCGCAATATGGTAGCCCTTCACCTCACCTATCCCACAACAACTAACGCGTCGCTAATTCCCGCTCAGGACTACCCCCCTACAGTCACGCTCAGCTTGGCTAGCCCGTGCAATGCACTTCTGAGTGCACTAAATGGTTGTTGTTTATGATTGTGGATGGCTGTATGACTATCAAAACCTACACAATTTGATTAATGCAACATTAATCGTTCATTCTCGATTGTGCGGTGAAATCCCCCATTTCCATCCGCGTTAATTGCAACCCATAGACAGCCATTTACCCGACCACTGCAGGCGCTATGTGCTCCTATTCCGTCGAAATCGCCGTTCTCATCTGGTATCCCCCTCACTCAATCCATACCCACTGACCCTATTTAAAACCGGCACCACCCCCGGCGCACCGTGTGTATGCCAGCCGCCATCAACATAGGACACTACGCGCCGCCACTAGTTCTAACCACCCCGCCATTGCTTCGTTCCTCAAACGTCCAGCTGCCCAAAAGCGACAGCTCACCTGCAATATGCACAGACTGTATT